ACTAAAAAACACGACCTATCATATCAACGATTAGGAAAACAAATTCTAGGAAAACAAATTTGAATTTTGGTATTTATTAATAACAATCAAAACATATCATATCATAAAAATAAAGCCGCGCGTTGGTTGACTGCCTCAGTAAGGTGACTAATTTAAGCTTGAAGGTGCCCTGCGCATTTACAGAACCTTATGCGGCGATCACATATTCACGAGGACCTGTGAGCGCCAAAATTAATTTAAAGTTTCTAGAGATCATACATCACTACGAGTTACTCATGCTTTTGGATTATAAGAGTGCGGATTGTCAGGTATTTCATTCATTCATACTTAATCGGTTTAAAGCTGTATATTTAGAACTCACTATTGTTTAAACTACGAAAGCAGAACGTAGATAATGGACAATATACCGACGACAATACCAAGGACCCGAGTGCCGCATTGACTTTTCCGGATCCGTTTTTACCGAAGGCTTATCCACCAGTTACTCATGCTGCATGTATAGTCTGATAATATTTTGAGCCATGCCGTACCAGCGGCCGATGGGATTGGGGATGCATGTGAAGCTGTACAAATAAGAAAGTTGTAAATGTTCTTGACAACATTCGATACCAAATTATGGCACTTGTTGTAACGAAAGTTCGGTTTTTAACATAAAAACATAATTTAGGTTCTAGAAGATTTTCAGGGGTTCTCAACAATAGGCACTTGAACTGTTATTAATGGGTTGGGAGCGATTTCCGCCCGACGAAGTTCTACCTCATTGGGCACTCTGCTAGGTCCAACGACTCTAAGCTAAGTTTTGTAATCATTCAGCTGCAGATAATATTGAGACAATCAATTATTTATAATATTAACCCCATGAAGCAATTTGTAAGTTGGTTGGCTAAGGGTTTGGCCTAATCTGTTTAAAATATTTCATGATTTGGAAGATCTCATGATTTGATGCTCATCTTCACAACCGATAGTGAAGTCACCAGATTAATTGGAACATCTGTACAATGTAGTTTTTAAAAAGTGCTAGACCCAAGCATGAAGTTTAGAGCTTTTAATATGCACTTTATCCTTGAAACAATATTCATACATGATCTTAGATAGTAAGAATATCTGAACCATATTCAATTGAGCCACTAAATATTTAAAGGTTTCTATTTGATTCTCATAATATAACGTTGTTAATTTAAGAATTTTCAACCTGCTGCTGTATGACAAGTGTGCCAATACCCTCGATTACCTGGATGAAGACAGCTAGCTTCAGGTAAGCTTCCAACTCAAGATTGATTTGCCAACTACCATTAACAGGCGAACAACAGATGCGATGGATTTCACAATTGTATTGAATATTTAAGATGGGTCTTATCAGAAATTTGTAAATTGATAACATAACAGTTTTATCTCTAGTAACAATTTAAATTCCTGGAAATCCAACATTATATCATTTGGTTGGCTATAAATATAGATGCTTTTATCTGCTCATCCCATTTTAATGACTCGCGTGTAACAACACCCAACTAAACTCCTTTTCCTGTTCTGAGGGGGGGGGGGGTGTCACGTCCGTCTATGTCCGCTTGTCTCATAGAATCCAAAAAGGACAGGACATAGGCGGACATAGGCGGACATAGGCGGACATAGACGGACATAGGCGGACATAGACGGACAAAGGCGGACATAGGCGGACATAGACGGACATAGGCGGACATTAATGGACACCTAAATTGCTAAATAAAATGTTCAATTTTTGCTGTTATAGGGGGATCATGTTTTTTGTCCGTTCGGTACCCTATATTTTCAAAACGGACAAAAAATAGAGCGGACAAAAACGGACAAAAATGGACAAAAACGGACAAAAATGGAAATAACATTTAGATGCTTCCTCCTCCTACTCTTCCTCCTCCACCCCCTGGGTCTTCCTGATCTTCCTCAGTCCTCTTCCTCCTCCCCTCCTCAGTCCTCCTACTCCTCCTCCTCGTCCTCAGTCCTCCTCATCAGTCCTCAACAGTCCTCCTCCTCCCCAGTCCTCCTCCTCCTCCTGAGTCCTCCTCCTGGGTCCTCCTCCTGGGTCCTCCTCCTCCTCTTCATCCTCCTCCTCTTCCTCCTCAGTCCTCAGTCCTCCTCAGTCCTCCTCCTCATCCTTCTCCTCAGTCCTCCATCCTCCTCCTCAGTCCTCCCCAGTCCCCCTCCTCCTCCTCCTATTCAGTCCTCCTCCTCCTCCTCCTCCTCCTCCTTCTCAGTCCTCCTCAGTCCTCCTCCTCCTCCTGAGTCCTCCTCCTCCTCCTCCTCCTCTTCCCTCTCAGTCATCCTCCTCAGCCATCCTCCTCAGTCCTCCTCAGTCCTCCTCCTCAGTCCTCCTCCTCCTGGGTCCTCCTCCTCCTCTTCATCCTCCTCCTCTTCCTCCTCGGTCCTCAGTCCTCCTCCTCCTGGGTCCTCCTCCTCATCCTTCTCATCAGTCCTCCTCCTCCCCAGTCCTTTCCCAGTCCCCCTCCTTCTCCTCCTCCTATTTAGTCCTCCTCCTCCTCCTCCTCCTCAGTTCTCCTCAGTCCTCCTTCTCATTTGTCCTAAGTCCTCCTCCTCAGTACTCCTCAGTCCTCCTTCTCAGTCATCGTCAGTCCTCCTCCTCAGTCCTCCTCAGTCCTCCTCCTCCTCCTGGGTCCTCCTCCTCCTCCTGGGTCCTCCTGGGTCTTCCTGATCCTCCCCAGTCCTCTTCCTCCTCCCCTCCTCAGTCCTCCTCCTACTCTTCCTCCTCGTCCTCAGTCCTCCTCATCAGTCCTCAACAGTTCTCCTCCTCCCCAGTCCTCCTCCTCCTCCTGGGGCCTTTTCCTGGGTCCTCCTCCTGGGTCCTCCTCCTCCTGGGTCCTCCTCCTCCTGGGTCCTCCTTCTCCTCCTCAGTCCTTCTCCTCCTCCTCCTCAGTCCTCTTCCTCCTCTTCCTTCTCCTCCTCCCTCTCAGTTATCCTCCTCAGCCATCCTCCTCAGCCATCCTCCTCAGTCCTCCTCCTTCTCAGTCCTCCTCAGTCCTCCTCCTGAGTCCTCCTCCTCCTCAGTCATCCTCCTCAGTTCTCCTCCTCCTCCTCCTAGGTCCTCCTTCTGGGTCCTCCTCCTCCTCCTCCTCCTGGGTCTTCCTGATCCTTCTCCTCCCTCTCAGTTATCCTCCTCAGTCATCCTCCTCAGTCATCCTCCTCAGCCATCCTCCTCAGCCATCCTTCTCAGCCATCCTCCTCAGTACTCTTCAGTACTCTTCAGTACTCTTCAGTCCTCAAAATTTTTGTCCGCTAATGTCCACCAATGTCCGCTAATGTCCACCAATGTCCATCCAAGTCCGCCAATGTCCGTCCGGGTCCGCCAATGTCCGTCCGAGTCCGCCAATGTCCGTCCGAGTCCGCCAATGTCCGTCCGAGTCCACCAATGTCCGTCCGTGTCCGCCAATGTCCCAAAAAACACGTCCGTTGTCTCATAGAATCCAAAAAGGACAGGACATAGGCGGACATAGACGGACATGACACCCCCCCCCCTCTGAGGTTTGTTTCATGAATAGCCAGAATATTTTAAATTAGGATTATCATCTAAGTCAGTGTGCATTTATTTTCATTTAGATTGGTTATATCTAAGTGACGAAATACCTTCTAAGATTTCCAATTCCTGTAAATCTCCAGTAACACCGGAGATTTTCAGCAGCATTGCCAACAAATTTAAAATCAACAGCAATTAATTTTACTTTTTTTTATTAAATACTTTTCAAATTTTACAGAGTACAGCAATAGATGAATATAAAATAGAATCGTTCAAAATATCGCCCCCATCTGTAAAATATGATGGGCACCCAAACACGGTAAACACATAGTGAACTATGTCCGCAGTAACTTGGACCCATTACATCGAATTAATCTAAATCCAAAAATTTATGAAAAACTATTTAATAACAAACAAATCCATGGTGAATAACTGTGGATATAGTGTCAAAATTGGTATTTCATACGTCAAATTCCAGATACATTAGATACAGGTCTGATATGGTCATTAATGTGTGAGAAGGTGTGCGGGTGAAGTGTGATATGATGTTGAAAGTATAGGAAGGTAGATAAAAAAACTTAATAAAACAAAAAATAATAATATGGGGAGCAAAGAGACTTGGCTAGACTGTTGTTTCACTATCTAATAAACATTTCCATAGATGCTTAGTGACCTCAGCTTTGAAAAGACTAGTAAACACAATCTGTCTTACCTGTAAAGGGAGTCCATTCCACAGTATATGTGTTCTGTAGAAAAATGATTTTGCCAGTGGGCTATTTGAGGTACATATGGTGTGTGAATTCTGACTTAACTTAGGTAAAATTGATGACACAATAGACAGACTGTCGAGGTGGCAACGTCTTAGTCGAGAAGTGCCCTGATATAAAGAGAGATAGTGAGGCAGCGATACAGGAATTAAATTGTTCAGAACTTTGTGGAAAAAAATAAGATCATTCAAGTCAAACTTTTGAGACAAAGGGAGAATGTCGACAAGCTTGCACTTTTTGACATATTGCTCAGGTGGATAACTGCGGCCCTCTTCAGACAGAATCCATTTAATAGCTCTCTTTTGGATACTTTCTAATTTATCACTAAGTGATTTATTACAAGGGCGCCAGATTATGGAACAATTTTCGAATTGGCTACGAACCAGGGAAAGGTAAAGCGCCCGGCGACGTTTCTGATCAATGACAATATGGCCATTTCTTCTGACCATACCAAGTTGGACCATACCAAGTTGGTATAAATTCTGTCGCACTGACTATTCCAACTTAGCTTAGGAGTAACATCGACTCCAAGATCTATTTTGGTTTAAATTATTTATTATCACTATGGTCTATTTGCAGTATATAATTGATAGCGGACCACTCCCTATGCAGTTATTTGAATATAATAACAATATGAGACCAAAAAAGGGACGATTAGCTCAAACTATGTTTAACTATAAATCTGCCCAAGCCTCTGTTAACTGATTGAAATTAACTTCTAATATTGGTATAGGTAATGTAGATGAAGAAGGTGTAGCGGAGTTTTGACTAATGAAATGTAATGTTAATTGCTATCCTTTTATGCCTGTAAGTATTTGCTATCTATGTTTTATTACATATCTGCAATTAAATGTTTTGCAAGACAGTGCTCTACTTGCATTGATACCTTCAATATTATTTCTATGTGTTGAAAAGTTTACCATACTTTTGATTCGAGCAACTTAAGTCACTTAAATTTAATGAATCAATTAGTGTTTAAATCATTACACATTTTCATTAACTTTATGACGACTTTAATAAAGCTACTCTAACTACCAGGTTGACAGAAAGCACCGTAGGGGGGAGCATCGTTGGGGAGCTTTATAGAGTCCAGCGTTTACAAGGCCAGTGCTCAGCATGGTGCTATGAGAAGTGAGCTATTCTTTAAGTGCTAATTCAATTCTATACTGACAGATTCTTGCACATTTTTTAGCTTATACAAAATTCTAACAAAACTCACCTACTTGAATTTAGGATAGATGAATTAGTATAGTCATTTAATCAACTTTTTTACGGGTCTGGTTTCTAGGTATGGAGTCTGGGCACCTGCCCAACAAACGCTGACCAAGTCCAACACGGAGGAACGTAACATCTATCAGTGTAACCCGGAAGTAGATGAGCGAGGAGATTATGTAGAGCCTGATTGTTGGTACTGTGATAAAGGTAGGTCATCTAGTTTACTCTTGTATTCTGTGATGGGAAATTTTGTCCTAACATTTTTCAGTGTCCTTTTTAAAATTTGCAAAAAGAGCGAGGGCGAAAAGGATATCAATGAAACTAATAAATCAATGAAACTAATAAATCAATATTTTAGCTCATTTTACAAAGTCAAATATTTAAAACAATTAAAATTGTATAGTGCTCAATTTGTAAATGACTAGTTGATCTTTGCTATTGGAAGTTTGTCAAGGACTGGCAGCTAGCGGGGCAAGGAATGCACGGGCTTAGGGGCTTTTGTGCACACCAGAACACTAGCTCGGTACATTTTTGGAAACTAGAAGGACTGAAAACTAAAATTGTTTTTGATGGAGGTTGTGTGTAGCCAAGACGACTTACCACATAACCCCCAAAGGTTGCGAGAAAGAGTTCTACAGTCGAGCAGACTGCTATGCGGGTTGCAATAACAAGGAAACTTGCAAGTTGGCGTGCCGACACCATGAGACAATGTCCAGAACGAAGATTAACATAGAAGAGCTGACTGCAAATCTGTCTCGGAATGTTCCGCATGATATTTACGAGGAGGCAGACAAGAGGAATCATTCTACTATCTCGGTAAGTTTTGCAGCTAAGCCGATTCAAGTATGTGGGGGATATGTATTATTATATATACCTAGGATCATTGTGGAAATTGTAAAAATGAATAGCAATATAATAGTGATGATATCGGTGAAAGAAATCCAAAAAGTGGCTAGGTATCAGGATTCGAATTCAGGGTATGAGACTTGGAAATGGCTAAATTTTAAACTTTTTTTTTTTTAATTTAAAAATAAAAATCAAGGTGTAACACTTAAACTCTGACCTTCATAACCACAGCCGGGGACTGAACCACTCGGCTATCAGCCCTTGTACGTAACCTAGAAATTTAAATTTTATGTACAATCCTTGGCTTATTCTCGTGGTAAGAACGAGCTTAAAATCGCCATAGATTCCTGGCAATGCCTAGGATTCTAATGCTTCTAGTATTTATTGCCCGCAGGAAGTGAATCTAAGGAATGCCTGAGTAGAGTAGCGGCTTATCTGGTGACATGATGTAACGGCTAATTTAAAGATTACCTAAAACTGCCAAATTTTGATCAATTAACATAGCTTTAAAAGATTATGTGGCATGCAGGAATAAAATTCCTGAATTACTCACATCGTATAATTGGTGGTAATGCAAATGCGTATCGAGCTGTATTCCATCGCATTTCGACTGAATGCTGTTAAGGTCAGATTTCTACCTCTTGATGTCTAAAACAATTTTGGATCCTATGTTGAACTATAAGGCCTCCGGGCCGATGGGTCATGGGGTATATGATACACTCATTCTGAAGCTGTATAATTGCTCTCTTGCATTGTTATTTAAATTCCTTCACATTTCACTCATTTACATGAAACTATGTTGAATGCCTCGTATTATATTGAGAAATCTATGAGCAGCAATATATATAGCGTAGTTACATTCTGTAATGTAATTTTGATGTGAAGGTAAATTATCTGTTTTCACTATTCATGTATAGTCTCTGCAATGGTCGGCCTGGTAAGCCTGCATATATAGGAAGAATGGAAGAGTTATTTTTTATTCGCCAAGCCAGACATAATGGCTTCAATGGCTAATGCCTGTCCTTTCATAACAGTCTTAATGACAGCCTCCAGACGTTAACCTCCATACCAATGAGTAATAGTTAAGGTGCGATTTAGTGAGACTTGGGTAGATTTGGCAGTAAAGGTATTTGCAGTTAAAAGGTTTCTAGACAGGAACTGATCTGAATGGATTGTGGTCGTTAGTTTTAGGCTCCGTTAATGTTATAATGGTGTAAAAGTAAGTAACACGAGTATTACACGTGTATTTAACACGTGTCTACCGCGTGTATAATAAGACGTAGTGTACTCATTCACTGTCTAATGTTGCTGCGGAGTGAAGTTACCATGTCACATTGCTACATCACAATATTACACAGTTCACATGGACACATACTGCAACTGGTGGCTCTGAATACTGCCTACATAAATGCCGCTTGAACAATGAAAATTGAGAGATGTTAAAAAGTATGAAAATAACAGTGGCCCCGAAGTCCCAAGTGTGCACACTGCACAGAGTTTGTTTGTTTGCAGTTCACGTTTCTGAATCTAATAATTCATGTTATATTGGGGGGGGTGTCACGTCCGTCTATGTCCGCTTGTCTCATAGAATCCAAAAAGGACAGGACATAGACGGACATAGGCGGACATAGGCGGACATAGGCGGACATAGACGGACATAGGCGGACATAGACGGACATAGGCGGACATAGGCGGACATAGGCGGACATTAATGGACACCTAAATTGCTAAATAAAATGTTCAATTTTTGCTGTTATAGGGGGATCATGTTTTTTGTCCGTTCGGTACCCTATATTTTCAAAACGGACAAAAAATAGAGCGGACAAAAACGGACAAAAATGGACAAAAACGGACAAAAATGGAAATAACATTTGGATGCTTCCTCCTCCTACTCTTCCTCCTCCTCCCCCTGGGTCTTTCTGATCTTCCTCAGTCCTCTTCCTCCTCCCCTCCTCAGTCCTCATCCTACTCCTCCTCCTCGTCCTCAGTCCTCCTCATCAGTCCTCAACAGCCCTCTTCCTCCCCAGTCCTCCTCCTCCTCCTGAGTCCTCCTCCTGGGTCCTCCTCCTCCTCCTCTTCATCCTCCTCCTCAGTCCTCCTCCTCATCCTTCTCCTCAGTCCTCCATCCTCCTCCTCAGTCCTCCCCCAGTCCCCCTCCTCCTCCTCCTATTCAGTCCTCCTCCTCCTCCTTCTCAGTCCTCCTCGGTCCTCCTCCTCCTCTTCCCTCTCAGTCATCCTCCTCAGCCATCCTCCTCAGTCCTCCTCAGTCCTCCTCAGTCCTCCTCCTCAGTCTTCCTCCTCCTGGGTCCTCCTCCTCCTCTTCATCCTCCTCCTCTTCCTCCTCGGTCCTCAGTCCTCCTCCTCCTGGGTCCTCCTCCTCATCCTTCTCATCAGTCCTCCTCCTCCCCAGTCCTCTCCCAGTCCCCCTCCTTCTCCTCCTCCTATTCAGTCCTCCTCCTCCTCCTCCTCCTCAGTTCTCCTCAGTCCTCCTTCTCATTTCTCCTAAGTCCTCCTCCTGAGTCCTCCTCCTGAGTCCTCCTCCTCTTCCTTCTGAGTCCTCCTCCTGAGTCCTCCTCCTCCCTCTCAGTCATCCTCCTCAGTCATCCTCCTCAGCCATCCTCCCCAGCCATCCTCCTCAGCCATCCTCCTCAATACTCCTCAGTCCTCCTCCTTCTCAGTCATCGTCAGTCCTCCTCCACAGTCCTCCTCAGTCCTCCTCCTCCTCCTGGGTCCTCAGTCCTCCTCCTCCTCCTGGGTCCTCCTGGGTCTTCCTGATCTTCCCCAGTCCTCTTCCTCCTCCCCTCCTCAGTCCTCCTCCTACTCTTCCTCCTCGTCCTCAGTCCTCCTCATCAGTCCTCAACAGTTCTCCTCCTCCCCAGTCCTCCTCCTCCTCCTGGGGCCTTTTCCTGGGTCCTCCTCCTGGGTCCTCCTCAGTCCTCCTCCTTCTCAGTCCTCCTCGTGCCTCCTCCTGAGTCCTCCTCCTCCTGAGTCATCCTCCTCAGTTCTCCTCCTCCTCCTCCTAGGTCCTCCTTCTGGGTCCTCCTCCTCCTCCTCCTCCTGGGTCTTCCTGATCCTTCTCCTCCCTCTCAGTCATCCTCCTCAGTCATCCTCCTCAGTCATCCTCCTCAGCCATCCTCCTCAGCCATCCTTCTCAGCCATCCTCCCCAGTCCTCTTCCTCCTCCCCTCCTCAGTCCTCCTCCTACTCTTCCTCCCCGTCCTCAGTCCTCCTCATCAGTCCTCAACAGTTCTCCTCCTCCCCAGTCCTCCTCCTCCTCCTGGGGCCTTTTCCTGGGTCCTCCTCCTGGGTCCTCCTCCTGGGTCCTCCTCCTCCTGGGTCTTCCTTCTCCTCCTCAGTCCTCAGTCCTTCTCCTCCTCCTCCTCAGTCCTCTTCCTCCTCTTCCTCCTCCTCCTCCCTCTCAGTCATCCTTCTCAGCCATCCTCCTCCTCAGTCATCCTCCTCAGTTCTCCTCCTCCTCCTCCTAGGTCCTCCTTCTGGGTCCTCCTCCTCCTCCTCCTCCTGGGTCTTCCTGATCCTTCTCCTCCCTCTCAGTCATCCTCCTCAGTCATCCTCCTCAGTCATCCTCCTCAGCCATCCTCCTCAGCCATCCTTCTCAGCCATCCTCCTCAGTACTCTTCAGTACTCTTCAGTACTCTTCAGTCCTCAAAATGTTTGTCCGCTAATGTCCACCAATGTCCGCTAATGTCCACCAATGTCCATCCAAGTCCGCCAATGTCCGTCCGGGTCCGCCAATGTCCGTCCGAGTCCGCCAATGTCCGTCTGAGTCCGCCAATGTCCGTCCGAGTCCGCCAATGTCCGTCCGTGTCCGCCAATGTCCCAAAAAACACGTCCGTTGTCTCATAGAATCCAAAAAGGACAGGACATAGGCGGACATAGACGGACATGACACCCCCCCCCTATATTGATCAATGATCGATTATAGGCCTTTAGGAATCAACTCTTTATTTATTATTGCTGCTTATCAGCTAATAAAATATTAACAATTTAAGAAGTTATGATAAGTAATCACCAATCAACCTAAGCTTACTTTTAACTTGATAATAAGTATGTTAATTTTAATTTCAGGTATGGTGGAACCATGTGAGCCTATTTGATGAGCGGGAGCCAGTTGTTTACATGGTCTTCCTACTCAACTATACTTCTGACAATCCCGATGAACAGGTTAGAAACGTATCCGTAATTATAATTGGAATTGTAATTTTACTATGAATAATTTTAGTATTGTTAAATAAAATAAGTAAAATAATGAAATTCTGAATAAAAAACATACAATTTTAACTTGAGTATAATTATCTTACAAAATTAAAATTATCCAATTCAATGAACTGATTAAATCTACTCAACAATCTAATTACTATCCTCCCCAGCCGGAAGGATTGTACATTGGCCACACCCCTCACTACATATTCCCTGCTGAACCCCTCTCACCGGACTACTGTTACCGTATCAAGATATTAACTGTCGGAAACAGACACGGAGTTCTGGGTCATGCTGTTAGCAGTAGCAAGTTTGCAACTGATGGTACGTAATGATAATTATGATTAGAAAATTATGGGGGGGGGGGGGGGGGGGGGGGGCCAATGGCATAAATGGAGAAAATGGAGAATCACTCATAGGTTTTTTCCATTTTCTCCATAGAAATAGTCTCCATTTTATGCCATTTTATGCCATTTTATGCCATTGAAAACCTGAAAAATTTAGAATTTCGAGAAAAATTATTTTAAAAAAAGATATTTTCGGCCAATAATGAACAGGGTATCATGAAACATGGAGAAAAGTGGTTTTCAGAAAAACTTTGAAAAATGTTGACTTAGAAAATTTTCGGTCCGAGTCATTGTCGATACGTACCTCCCGTATCGAGAGCTCCCGATTCCGAGCTCGTGTTGCAAAGGGGGAGCCTGCCTTCCGAGATCGCATTACCTCGAGTCCAAAATTGTGTATCGAGGGGAAGGTGTGGACTTCGAAAAACCGAAAAAATATTTTCGGCAAATAATGAACAGGGTAGCATGAAACGTGGAGAAAAGCGGTTTTCAGAAAAAATTTGAAAATGTTGACCGAAAAAATATTTTCGGCTTATAATGAACAAGGTAGCATGAAACGTGGAGAAAAGTGTTTTTCAGAAAAACTTTGAAAAATTTTGACTTAGAAAATTACCCCTCGGTACACAATTTTAGACTCGAGGCTTCCCCCTGGTAATGTGATCTCGGAAGGCAGGCCTCCCCTTTGCAACACGAGCTCGGAATCGGGAGCTCTCGATACGAGAGGTACGTATCGAGAATGACTCGGGCCGAAAATTTTCTAAGTAAAAATTTTTCAAAGTTTTTCTAAAAACCACTTTTCTCCACGTTTCATGCTACCCTCTTCATTATTAGCCGAAAATATTTTTTTGGTTTTTCGGTTTATCGAAGTTTGCACCTACCCCTCGATACACAAATTTGGACTCGAGGCCTCCCCCTGGTAATGCGATCTCGGAAGGCAAGCCTCCCCTTTGCAGTGCGAGCTTGTTTCGACTTTCGAGGATGTAGGTCTCACTTCTCAGTGCCTATTACTCTCCCCTATTACTCACTCCTGCTGTAGCCTGTAGAAATAACTTTACACTAGGCTTGAGTAATTATGAGTTTGCCTGAAGTGTGCCTTTACTAACCTAGTATAAGCATCTAGTAGCCTACTATGAGCTTTCATAAGCTTGTTAGGCCCCTAGTAAGCGTAAATAAACATGTTAGGATGTCCAATTTAGGTGTTAAATGGTGTTAAAGATGAAATTTCGAAGAAAAAATTCATGGCATAAAATGGAGAAAAATGGAGAATTACTCATGGGTTTTTCCATTTTCTCCATAGAAAAAGTCTCCATTTTATGCCATTTTATGCCATTTTATGCCATTGGCCCCCCCCCCCCCCCCCCCCAAAAATTATATACTTATATATCACTTTATGGTTCAAGCCACCTAAAGCGACTCATGAACAATGAACATGTTCATAAAAACCTAAAACATGTTCATAAAAACCTAAAATTGTATAAAATACGTAGTGGAGCTCTTCAGAGCTTTTTCTAGCTTTTATTTCGATACTTTTAGATGTTTGGTATTATTCCCAGGTGAAGTATTGATTTATTTGTTGTGCAAATATAAGAGTGTTTTAAAAGTTTAAAAGCTTCGTGCCTTTATATGGTATAATCTTGAGATTTAACTTATAATGCTAATGCGTCAATGACGTTAATTGTCAAACATGGCTAATTCGTGTTTGTACAATGTACATAGTCATAATATGCAAAATGTGTGTATTAACTTATTAATATTAACATTCAAATTTACATTGAAAAACAAAATGAACTCAGTCGTCAGCGTAAATACGGATTGTACCTGCAAAGGGCATTCATTAATTTGCATTCATTAAGCGATGAGAGTTCTGTAAAACTGCAGATTCCCATATCAATGTAAAAATTTGTTGTAGAACTGTAACTACCAACAAGGGCTTGTAAACAATTGTAAACAATTTCCTCTTTGGCCCCAAATTTCCTCCAAAATCCAATATTTCCTCGCATATTATCTGCCGTCTTTCCGAATGTTGGGTCCTACATGCTTCCAAATGTTTTATGTTCAGCTTTGTTCAATTGAGTTAAGTTCGCTGTACGCGTTTCAAAAAGACTAGGGAGGTGTGAGTCGCGACACACCTCAATGCTACACATTATATTTAGCGGCGGTTACTTGAAATAAATTCCCCGGTATGCTGTCATTCCTAAAAATATTTGACAGTCGTTATTACTGGTAACGGGGTACCTTTCTCAATATCCCGAATATATATGCACAGTATTTAACAGTATTTAAGGTATATTACGTTATCCATCGAAGGGATTTCAAGTCATGTAACTTTAGGTGATCAGGTTGAAATGTCGTCATTTTTTAATAATTCAACAAGACTGCAAATATAAATATCTTGTGAATGTCTACTGCCCTTGTGTCTCAGAATTGAAGATTCTGATTTCTGATCGTACATATTCAGGAACATTTTAAACTCGGTTTAATTTGGCTGTTATAATTAATGAAGTAAATAAGTGGCTTTAGCTGTTTACAGGAACCAGTTTTCTAGAACTGATAAAAGTGATAAGGGACAGTCCCTTATTTTCATTTTAAACACGTCATTCCAGTTGATTACCAATCGCACACTTATAACGCAAATTCAGTAATATTTATGATATTACTGAAGTAATTTGGTAATATTTATTTTTTACAACATGAACCAGCGTTAGATTATGCAATCTATCTACCTTATAAATTATACAATCAATTCTAATACTTGATTAATAACGCAAATATTTAACACTTAAATGTACATCTTGTTGGGTATATTTTAATGTCGAAGCGTGTAATTAACATTAGAATTTATTTATTTATTTAATAATTGGGTAATAATTTTATTTATTTAATAATTGGGTATAATTTGTTCAGCTCTGATCCACGTGACGAACATTACCACAACGGCTGCTGATATTTGGTTTAAGATGCGACACTGCGAATCTAAGATAATATACACCATACGTCTAGTATGGGGGGACAATGTATTTACAGACTTGACAGAATTTTCTAGTCAAGAGAATGTAAGTTTGATTAATTAACTGTTTACTTTGATTAATTAAGTGTTTACTTTGATGAATCATGTTTCTTGATTATAAATGGTCATGTAAGTTTAGTTATAGAATGTTGGTACTTGATGAATGATGATTTACATCATAATATGAATGATTTACTAAGAAAGCTATGCAATTGTTTACTAATATTTAGCTGTATTTACAATTATATATGCTTCGTAACACTTAATTAGCCCATTAAATAATTAGTTGCTTGTTTCAGAATATCTTCAAAACACGTGCTCCTGATTTGCAGCCTAACAAGGCTTACCGAGTTGTGGTGAGTTAATTACGTCTTAATTACGAGTTAAATTACGTCTTAATTAGACACAGTAAATATTTCAACATGGTACATTTTACTGTAACCACTAATTTTGGTAGTCCACTTGGCAGTTCGCAACCTCTTAAAAGAGTTTGATTTTATACAATCGTTTATGTCTCTTAGGACTCTAGGACTCTTAGGGCTTCATCCAAATACTTGAAGCAGTACATCATTCTCAAAAAGGCATAAATAGTTGTAAGACATTTCCTTATCAGTTGAAAATCACCGATATTAGTGATTAGATCAGCTCCAATAACTTGACGTTAGGCTGAGTGTTGTAAACCTCATGACAGGACATTATCACATATGTTACATCATGATGTGCGGTATATTGGCAAAACTGCAAGCTTAAAATGTGATATCCTGTTTAGCGCACAATGTATCCATATGATATATTACGAACTTGACATTACAAACTTGACATTTAGCGTGTTTTACGAGATACCATATTAACACAAAATATAGTATCATATATTCATTATTTAGCTGTGTGTGTCCTGGATTTACATGGTACAATTACGTTAATGCGTCGTACATGACATGGCATTTTTCCGGGTTCATACCCGAACTTGAGTTATATAGCGATTCTAATTTCCGTTTGCGAACGTTTGCGGAGGAACAGGAAATGACACAATTTCTGAAAACGTCGACGTTTAATAGTGTTGCGAAAGACAAATGATGTCTCTTGTAAACTTCATTCTTAAATTAGCACAATGTCAATTAGTTATAATTGTTATTGTTTTATGTTCCATTTCACAGGACCGAGAGAAAAAAAAAATCATTTTCCATTCGTATAATATCATAACTGAAGATGTTACAAAGAAGGACCAGTTCATCTTGATTCATTGCACGTGAAACAAATATAAATTGTGTTATTAGTAGCCCGCTTGACATGATATCACCTAAATGGCTGTGCTTACCGCAACGCGCGGCACAATTTTGTCTATTACTAGCAACGTAAGATTATGCAAAACTCACTGAAACTAACATTTGAGAACGCGCGCGTTTGTCTAATGAGAGCGTACCCTACGCATGGTTTTGTCTATTTTTAGCCAATTTCAAGCAATTAATTGGGCGAAGTCGGCACGCTTGGCTGCTAATTAAAATCTCCAATTATACTGCCAAAAGCTGTTCTCAACATAACCTTAAATATTTATCATCGACCCTCGATGCTACGTTCTACTGAGCCACACCCTATAATGTGAACTGTGAAGGATTTCTTTCAATTCTTACTGAGTTCGAAAATCCTTATGCGATCAATTTTCAGGTTCACAGGCACTTCTCTAATGGTGATACTAAATTCTCCTTCTACGGTGACTTCACGACACTACCAGCAGCCCCCAGACACCGCCGTTATAATATTAAACACCATTGTTACAGACGACGAGATTAGTTACAGCTACAAGGTTGAAGATCTGGACAAGCTTTATGTTTCAGAAAGTGAGATACAGAGCTATATCCTGAAAATAAGAGCTGAGGATGAGTAAGTTTTTAAATTACATTGGTAAAAGCACCTCTTTTTCGATTGTGAGATAAGTCAATCTGTGCTCGACGCATCAACATCCGCTCTCTTTCTTGGGAATTTAAACATAATTTTGAAGTATTTGATGGAATATAAAGAATGTGCTTATTAATTGCTGTAATTTCAGGGTTGATTGGGTTGAGAAGCCAATCTATAACTCAATGTCAACCGGTCTTTACAAGGAACCGAACCTTACTCCTTATGTGAGATACTGCGTATCGATGGCTGTACGCAATCCGACTGGTGTAGGCCCCTTTTCAGAGGAACATTGTAACAGAACTAAAAGTGCCAGTAAGTGTACCGACTATTTTTTCGCTTCCATCTATCCTATTGACATATAATAATAATAGATAATAATGTTCTGTCTCATTCGTCCTAATTTCAAGAGTTGCTGTATCGATAAGACTAGACTTTTTCTTGTAATTGTAGACCGGAATGCAATCAGCTAACAGGGCTAACAGAATTCCTAGCACCACATTCCCCGATCCGGATCATATGTTGAGGATTTTCAAATTTTAGCCCGTCTTGATTAGCATGTGAAACGCGATCACGTATGCCCGACCACATGAATTCTTAACACCACCTCCCTCATTCCCCGATGTTGAAGATTTTCAGACCACCTTGATTAGCATGCGAAGCTGATCAAGTGATCACGTCTGCCCGACCACATGATATGTTTTACCAGTATGATATATGAGAAGGTGTCAACTGGACCGGGTATATGATCCCGTTCGTATATATAACGACCAGTCTTTCATACTTACTATCAAATCAGTTCTATCTATTCCTTCAGTACAACAGATTATTTCAATTGCTTCCATTATGACTCTTACCCCCAACGAGAGCACTCCAAGGTCCTGTAAAGTTCGATCCTCCTACTGGACCAACGAATCCCACAACATTATGTCTCCGATCATCCTCACCACCCCCACCAAAACCTCCCACTTCTCCCGGAAACTAAGCTTCAGCAGCACTGAAGACGAGCTCCCAAATCAGAAGAAACGACATAAGACTTCCAAGATTCCTGTCAGTTCCAGTTCCAGGTCTAAATCTTGTGAGAGGATAGGACAGCACAGAGTCAGCACTCAACGAGTCAGCATTGGTGCTTCAACGAATAACATTGTTTTGATCACCCCTACACCTAGAACCCCTCTCTCCATCCTCAACAACCCCACATCCGCTTCTGCTTGCAAGGTCCGGGATCTTCGGAAAAGACGGGTAATACGATCCAAATCCTCCGACAACCTAGCTCAATGTTATGTCTCCATGACCCCTGTTTCCTCTAAAATTCCTGTTTCCTCCTCTAAAGTCTCAGCTGATCGGATAGTTACTGACAAGAAGAGACGCAAGAAGAACCTAACTCAGAAGTTCAGAAAGGCGATTATGAAGCCTGATGTGGATGGAAACGGTCTCCACGAACACTCCTTCGTTGATTGGTTTAGAAAACGTCTAAACGATAGCTGAGCGATATATGAAGATGGAAGACATCGATTGTTTTTTATATTATTGTGTGTATTATATTAGTTTAAATCTTAATTTTTCAACAAAATTTCTGATAATTATTTTTGTGACCATTGCCAAAATTTGAATACAAGCAAAGGTAAATTTGTCTTGAAAAGTCAGAAAATTTGAAAAAAATCTTAATTGGATGATTTTTCAGTCGCCCCTGCACCCGAGCTTCGCGAGGTATCAACCGCAGCTGATCACAGCGTCATTGAAATAACCCACCCCGACCCCACCAAAGGGTCTACTTGTAACCTACAATGTCACTTTTATGGATGACCCTTCAAATTATGAGAAGAGGGACTTCGCTGTAGAGGGTGAACTGAAGCAGAATATTAATATCAGCGACTTGAATAGCCATACTACTTATACTTTTATCGTGAGTTTTGCTCCTGATTTACCTTACAAATCGAAATTTCAATTTAAGTTACTTCAAACAGCTGCTGTGTTTATATTACATATATTTAACTAAATTGCTTATCATTTAATTCAGTAATACATTAATCATGGCCAGGTGAGCGCGATAAACTCCGTAGGAATGGTAGGTTTCCCCCAAGAGATTATGGTAACCACTCTTGAGTCTGTCCCAGAAGCTGCTCCGCACCTTTCAACTTGTGATCTGACTGCAACTAACTCCACGCACTTCAAGTAATTACTCAGTAATTGATTTTATAAGCACCCAATGTGGTCGTAGGAAGAAATAAGAAGATCGTCAAAATTAGAAATTACATCCGCGTCTGATGTTATTCCTTATTGTTTGATAATTTTTCATACCAATCATGTCTCACATGCTTTTTCAAATTCCCCGATGGATTTTTTCATTTTCAATTAACAATAGAATAATTTGTTTTCTATTTCCAGTGCGACTGTTAGCTGGGTTGGTGTACATGAGGATCATATAAATGGTGTTATTCAGAATTACACCCTTCACCTTCAGAAAGTGGTATGATTTTAAATTTGTACCTTATTTCATTTAATTGAACAATTTGGTTACATAATTATAAGTTCTAGCAACTTTTTGGATTACCAATAGTTTGGGTTCAGGTGGTATATTCTACTGAAGCTGAAGTCCATGTCTGATTAACAACAAAAAATCAAATTACTTATTTTCCAGATCTCGTTCCGTGATCGTGGTCTTCAATCAGTGCAATACAACAAGACTTACTCCTTTAGCTTTGGCTGAACGAAACCATAGAAAGCTATGTTCAGGTATGTAGAATTCTTTTCGGCTGAGATTGTGCTTAAGTTTGATCTAGTACGCATTATTGAATATTGAAACTAATTGAAGTATAGTTAGGAGGTCAAGTTTGTAGGCATAATCTTATCCAAGCAACCCAACCTATTATTCTTGTGCGACTTAAAATCGATATGTATCTTAATTTTACTATATAACTGTATAACTGGTCCACTGATCAATAAAACCATCCACTTATATAATGGTTTTATTGCTTAGTCCGAATTGTAAAGATCTGACATGTCATTCCCTCTCAGCCCCTGGACACAGACTTTGCACTCGAATACAAGAAAAACGAGCTAGTCCGTGCCCGACTCTCCATTTCTACGGAGATGGGCCAGGGACCATGGCCCTACTCACTTCTTCAACTGCACTGTCGGTAAGTTCTCAACTTATACTACAGGGTTGTATCAGAGTCACTAACTTTTCAGATGATATATTAACAGGAAACGATATTACAGCGTTAATATATTTTAATGTTGCCATGGGTGGTCAGTCCCCTACATCGTAGTCTGATATTTTCACTGCGTCTTAATATACAATACTGGGAACCCACTGGGAAACTAAATATGGCAAGTAGGTGCCGACCGGTTGTTAGAAGGTTATTAGCCGGCTGTTAGAAGGATATTAGCCGGCTGTTACACTAACAGTCCTCTAGTAACAGCCGGGCGGCCCAGTTGCCCTGAATATGTGAAAACGGCGGAGTATCGGCTGGTAGCCTGACTGAAAGAAAGCAGAGAAATTAGATGATAGACGTTAGAGAGTGATTTAGAGCTAATTCAACTTTAAAGATCTCTTATCACGCTCAGCATTTTCAATTCCTTAAACTGATAATATAATAGATTCAATCGAGCTGATATTATTCTGATCTCTTCTTTTTTAGAACTTTTTATAAGGATTCGGAAATCCAGATGATAGTTGATCCATCTAATCTATTGTTTAGAACTTTAAGATCGTTATACCGAGGAAATAATTAAAACATGGGCAAATGCTCTGTCTTTTGGTAAACAAACGGCCAAATATGTATATATCGATTTAATAGTCACTTAGTAACTCGTAATTAGAACTCAGAAACCAGTCTCGATTTGTTCACCTCGTAATTGAAAACGTAGCCTTGAATTATTTCGAACACTAAATGTTTCAGCTCTCTGAGCAGAAATTTGAATGATGAGTACACTGTACATACCACATGGCCATGGCGAACACTGTACAACCTAGCCGGGTATAGCCATTAGCCATACACCCTACTTTTTCTTTTGAGTTTCCCAGAAATTCTTTTGAGTTTTCCAGAAATTCAAAAGGTTTATTAATTTCCGTAGTGGGGTAGCAACTAGGTCATTTTCAAGTGACTTTGGCCACTGCAACTACTCGAGGTCAAATTTGGCAGTACTACCTCTAAGCTAGTTAGTGATCTTGTTGAGTGTATTATACAATTTCTCACGCGTGAGCCAGCCAGATTCACTACGTATTTCAAAGCTATTTAGATCCATTATATCTTCTACGTCTTTGGTACAAGCTAGTCTTACTCAGTACAAGCGATAAAAGTCAGTCAGGTGAGCGAATAGTGATTTGTCGGAACAGCTGGGATAGTGAGATGGGTTGTGGCAGAATCGTTTAGTTTAAATTGATCTTGCACCGTGCGTCTTCGTTCTTTCTCTTTCAAGACACAGCTTGCCAGAAAGGTGCTTTCAGTAACATTTCACATGACATTTGAACAGACCTTGGCCTTACTTGACTGGTGTTAGTGGACTTTTACTGAGACATGAAACACACTACATAGGGGGGGGGGGGGTCCAAGGGGAACTTTGGGGAACTTTGGGAAAGTCCCCCAAGATTTCTGAAGTTCCCCAAAAAAAAGTTCCCCAAAACTTCCAAAGTTCCCCAAAATTCCCCAAAATTATTCAAAATTATTCAAAATTATTCAAAATTATTCAAAATTATTCAAAATTATTCAAAATTATTCAAAATTATTCAAAATTATTCAAAATTTCTCTAATATACATTAATACCCATTAATGTTAACATGTATGTTATTATAAGGTATAATCTTAACTTACTTGTTGATACTTGCAGCATGATAATTTTTTTGGTATGATAATTTTTTTGGGGAACTTTGGGGAATTTTGGGGAACTTTCTGAAGTTCCCCAAAAAAAAGTTCCCCAAAATTCCCCAAAATTATTTGTTTCATTGATAATTTTTTGGGAACTTTGGGAAAGTCCCCCAGGTTTCCTGAAGTTCCCCAAAAAAAAGTTCCCCAAAACTCCCCAAAGTTCCCCTTGGACCCCCCCCTACATATAAACCTTTCTGTTTCGCTGCGCATTTATACCACGCTCCTTTCGCACCATTATCCAATTTCCAAACGTGAATGTTTTCGCAAAATTGTCAGGAAATATTTATGAAGTTACTTCTTGATAATTGATAAAGTGGTACTGTATTCAGACTAACGACAAATAAACTTGCTATGTTTAGCTTTTCTCATTTCTCCACTCCTTTTTTATTTTGAATTACAAATTAATCATATTATTTATAAACACTATCAAGGTATAGAACTAGAGAAGCCTTAAATAAAGTGTAACAATGAAATATAAAAAACGCTGTGACAGCTAAATGGAGGGGGGGGGGGGGAAGCCAAGGGGTATTAAATGGGGAATGCCTTATTTTGGAAATACCCCAAAATTATTCTAAATATTCATTGTGGGCAACAGTTTATGTTTACACAATACAAACCAGTTTCAGTCCATTGTTCAGTGCATGTTTTAGTTGAAATTGTAGTCTGCCTAAATAATGAATTAGATCAGGAAAAAAATGTTTAGGCTCACCAGCCAAATTTCTGAACTGTTGCTCTGCTCATGCTTATGACTTATAGTTATTAAATTATTATATTCCCTTTTATACTCATGAATCTGGTAACATTCCCGTCTAAAACATTTTGGCCCCGGGGCCGGGTTTGAGTCTTGGAATACCCAATACCTCAAGGAACCGATCAGAAACAAATTTGGCTCGGGTAGAAATTTTAACAATGGAGTATGGTGCAGTTTTGCGCAATCGACCACGCTTTTTTTGGCGCTTTTGCGACTTTGAAATAAAACTTTGGCCTCTGATTAGAGTCAAAAGCCACACTAGGGCATAAATATGTCCAACATTATCACATTTAGGGGTGTACAGCATAATTTCAAAGTCCTATGACATTAGGACATAAGTTATGAGGCTGCACCTATTTGCGCTCTCGTGATAATAGCAACTACAGCACTTTATAATACAAGATATCTTGGCTTCTGAAGCTAAATGCTCAACTTGGACGTTTAAATTTTCAAAATGATCACATTGAGTTGGGCAGAGCATAAAGTCAAAGTTCTCAGTCATTAGTCATCGGATTGCTAAGTTATTAAGCCAAAACACATTTTTACACTGTCGCGTGTTGCGACTGCAGCACTTAAAATCAAAATAACTCGGATTCTGATTGGAGCTTAAATTGGGCAGTGAAATGATCATACTGAGTGGGGTAAATTCTAGTTACGACGTCCTGATCCTCAGGCATCAGGCTGTAGAGTTACAGCTTCAAGATGACGTTTTCAATAATGCAACGCGAGTAATCTCGCTGCTAGGGTAGGCGAGGGTATGACATTATTATGCTAATACCCTTCGGCCTCTTAGAAGGATATAAAACTTAAAGAGGGCAGTCAGGAATCTTCCTTGCCTTCAAACTTTCGATTCACACATTTCCTGGCCTCACGAGTTCTTGGATTAGCCTAGAACACCAGATAATTTTGAACAATTTGGTGACTCGTATACAGTTCTTACAACCACGCTGAATATTTAACTTCCATTTTAGTGGATCTGTCTGGCGTCCTGGTGGATTTAATCGATCGCATTTACCTTTAAAACTATTGTATCATAGCTGAGCGGTATACACTATACACGCTCACAGGCTACCACGTCTTGTGTAACCCAGGATTTCGTTTTGAATCGGACACTTAAAACAACGACAGATGGAATGACTGCAAGGTTTCCAAAACGTAGCCTGGAGAAAAACGGCACGTTAATGTCGTTGCTGGTATGGTGATGGAGAATCTTCCACATATGAAGTTGAATAAACATTAAACCGCTCCCTGCGACGCTGTAGTGACATCAGAGATCGAAGAAGGTCCCAATAATGAAGATCACGCATTCCAGTAATCCTTGCGTTGAAAGTTTTGTACGCTTTCAAGCCCCTGGATGTCACTTATCTTGGAGGGGTGCCATAGCGGGCAACAGTATTCCAGTAGACTACGAACCATCGACTTGTAAAGCGTGAGCATTATGACTGGTGATTTGGTCTGAAAGACACTGAAAACCCAGGCAGCTTTGTCGAACCTTGTTTGCTATGGTCTTAATGTGGGGTTGTCAAGATAGATCGTCGGAGACGAGACCCCTGAGGTCTCTAAGTTGGCCTAAAGGTGCGAGTGACTTGTCATTGGATACTGAGTACTGGTACAGTTCACTAGAACAAAAGGACGTTCGACGAGAGCACTGCGTCGATTGTGTCTGTGACAAATATACCCAAACTTTGTCATTTGTGTAGTGCCATATTGTTTTCGTTCAGACCATTTATGACACTATTCAATTTGTTTTGTAAAACAGATACGTCTTGTTCACAGGTTATCGAAATCGATACACGAGTGTCGTCTGCAAAGTATATACACATAATTCAACAACCTAATGTCTCAGGACTTTGAAATTATGCCTCATTCACTATATAAGTTAATAAGTATATAACACCATAGAATGGCATCTGTAAACTGTAAAAATACATTGTCAAGGCACAGGGGGTATTTTAGTAATTTTGGGGTATTTTGGGGAATGCCTTAGTGGATTTTTGAAATCCCCCATAATAGAGTCCCCCACTTGGCTTCCCACTAAATGCTTTATCCCAGTTCTTTTCATTTTACTGCACTAACGTTTGAGCTAAATTCGAATTCCTACTGCAGCTGTTATGTTTTGCATTTTATTTATATAACAAATAATTTGAGGAGGTTCTCTAAAGATGATATTTTATTCGAAGAATTCAAGAGCCTAAACTGTGTATGATTCGCCTCTCCAAACAAATCTCAAGTTAACTTGATAATGATACGTGATCGAGCGATTTTTTAAATGAAATTGATAGTCGACTGGAGACTGGTGAGTGGTGGGAAATTTAATTTTTAGGCTGCAGGTAAAAAATGTATTGTTACTAAATATCTAATGGTTCGATTTAACTGTTATTGAGTTGACTGTTGCTCGAGAACTATTTACTATACATATATATATTTATGATATACAACTGGTTTTCTTCTCTTATAGAAAAAGGGCTCTACTAGCTGTAGCTAGGAGCATGAAATATCGGTACAAAGCAAACTATGCAATTGTCAAACTATAAGTTTCATGTTTGAAAAGCAATCTTCAGTGACATAATTAACATAAAAATGGCAAACATAATACAACACAGTGCTCCTTTATCAAATTTTATAATTAACAATTAACAATTACTCAATACTACTAAACCTATATAAATAACTACAAATCCTAATAACTAATAAATACTAACTAAGTATGTCTAACTAAGAATTTCCTAGAGTGCCTACATTTAGAAATAATTTCTGATCTTTTATTAATAATGCCTGGGGTTTTAAGTATGTATAGTTTCTCGTCTAAGCAGAGGCCACAATGCCCTGCTCCAGCCTTATATTTCTTCGATTTAGTAATAATCTTCCAGTCTATGCTATATTCAATCATCTTCTCCTTGAGGTCCCATATCAATTTTGATAACTCGGTACTCAGTCTGTGCTTAGAATTCTTAAAACTTTATGATATATATATATATATATATATATATATATTTTGGTATTATACTTGTAGATGTTTATTGAAAATAAGCTACGGTCTGAGTTGGGAGGGAAGTCATTTTTTAATGTTGGTCTTAAACTTAAACTGCTGTTTAAGTTTTACCTAAAGGTTGGTAAATACGGTTCTTTGAAGAATATAAAACCTCTGAAATTATGACAACCATATTCCTACAATCAGTCAGCGCTACTTATCGGAGCCGTATGACTATGTCTTGCAACTTAGGCCACAGAGGGGGGGGGGGGGGGGGCGGGTTGTCCGAGGCCGATGCCAAAAAATTTGTTCTCCCCAGTTGGCAGACCATGTACTACCTGACGCTCGCACACCACCCCTGCCCCCCAGAGCGCCTAGTTTGTCGTAAAATTGAGGTTAAATATTATAATTGTCTATTTTATCAGTTTACCTCACAAATAACTGGTTCTTAACATTTTACTACTTACATTTTCTATCTTCTTCTAGAGCTTTCATCCGTTTCAGCTCAAATTTGAAACACATGTTCCTGAGATAGTCACAGTCAGGAAATATGAGGTGATTTTTAAAATTTAGCTTCTATCTCTTTTTATGAGGTTAACTGTCGAAAATATCGTGATGCGCACTCATTGTTAACCTCATATCTCAGCTTAGGAGATAAGCCCCCCCCCCCCCCCCCCCCCCCCCCCCCCCGTGGCCTTAAAGGGAAGATTTTATTTATTTTGTTCATATCGTTATAGTTTTGTTATGAAATCGAGACACCATCTGTTAGTGTTAAACTCAATTTTAAAATACTGTTGATTTCTTCTTGCCGTTTGTCTCCTGGTGCTCTTTTAATTAAATTCTCGATCGCGTTGTTTGATTGCCGGGATGGTATTTGGTTTCACAGTTCACCCTCATATTCACTGTCCATATTAAAAGTCAACATACTTGTATGTTTATAAACAAAAGTTAAATTCAAATTGTATGATGCGATGTTACAAGTTTATTGCTGGTTCTTTATTTGGGACGGTGTTTGGTTCCACCGTCGTGTCCAATGTTCATGTTAAACCTTATCGTGGGATCATGAGATCCGCCCTCGTGTCCACCCTTATAGGAAAGTACCGCTATTGTTCCCTACGTCCTCGTGTCCACCGCCATTGTGCCCTACGCCCTCGTGCCTGGTTCGCGTACAGCGTGAATAGCTTTCATTTTTCTTCTTTTGTTTCTTGAAGCTTTCGTTTGAGCAGAAGATACGGACTGTATATGGAATAAATACTGTTTATAATGGAACTTAATAATTCACTAGCACCACAGAAGCGCAATACAAGCGCAATACAAGTGCGATTAAATTAAGTTATCGTGTAGCATTTTTTTTGGAATGGAACTTTTAAGTTTTATAATTGCGCCAGCATTTCTAGATATTTTGGTTTTAAGCTGTTGTTATGCTGGCTCCAACTAAGTTCTGAGTCAATTTTGACACATAAAAAATAAATAATGAACAATATTGGACCAAGAATAGACCCTCGATGAACTTCATTTGCTATCGGTGGGCATAGGCTTAAAGACAGCTAAAACTTGGCGTATGATGAAAATAATCATTACATCGTGTTCGCCGTCCTCTAATTAGCCGTCCTCGAATTAGCAAGTACAGCTATATGTCAGTTAAATGGTGTTACGGTATCAGAAATATTTATTTTCGATTTTAACTGAAAAATGATTAGCATAATTATGCCCATTTTGCCCATTTGTTCCTCAACTTTTGTTTAAATGGGAATCGATGGGGTTACCCTAATTCCTTAGATATTGAAGAGCTAGGTCACAAAAAATTTAGACTTTTAACACCATTTGCAGAATGCAGCAAATGACCAGACTATCTGTCATTGGTGCACGCTTTGTTTATGATTATCACATCCCTGTCCCAGCGGATATTACAAAAACTTGTTATCAAATTGAACATATTCTCAAATGTTGCTATAATATTATGTTATTGATCATGTTTTGTTATTGAATCATTGATGATGATACAACAGTCGAACTTAGGCGACCCTGTCAAATACCAACACTTTCTGCTGACAGTAACATATATCTCTTATCAAGATACATCTCTAATTACCTTTAATTACCCCTAATTACCCTCTAATTACTTCTAATTAATCCTAATTACCCCCGCAGTGAACCCAGGAAATATGGGTCCTGGTGCGCTGGAGATACTGCTTCCTGTACTAGGAGTCGCCGCTGTCTTCATCTTCGTCGTCGGTGCTTTCTTCTACTTCTTCAGGTATACTACTGACAGTGGGACTTCCAACTCCGAATGAGCAAAAGTTTAATCCCTCACAAATCTATAACTGATATTGAGTCTAGAAATTTTCACTAATAGCGTACATTTTGACCACTATAAATTGATTTCCAACCTAAATATGGTTAAAATCAGTAATTTATGAATTGATGAATTATCGATAAGACTGTGTTTTGATAACTTTTTTTCTTCAGATTCAAGACGTACAAGAAGACACCATACGAAGAAATAAAAAAATTGATTAGACCTGAAACATTTAGTCCTTGTCAGCATTGTATGCACAACAAAGGTCAAAATCACATTATTTATTAGTATTTTCTTATATATAATAAGGTTATCGTCATCATAAAACAAAGTAGTCAATGGAATATATTTTAATTTACCTGATCAATTGTCGAAATAAATTACCGGTATTTTCTCCTCTTCAGTTACAAATTAATAAATCAATATATTGAACAATCTAAAATTGAAAAGAAATTAAATTAAATTAAAATAAATCATTATATTAATTGATTTCAGATCCTAAAAGATGGGACGTGTTCATCTGTCATGTCAGTGAGGATGAAAACTACATCATTCAGCTGAAGGAAGCGTTTGTCAGGGAAAAGATAGATGTGTTCTTTGCCAAGGATGAACTTAGTTGGGGCTGTGAGCTTCACCGAGTTATCAACGTGAGGATTTTTTATAGCTTCAACCTTATTTTCCGTGAAACAAGTTTGCCTTTCAAGCGATCTACTTCTAAGATATCTCTTGAATCTTAACTAAAGTCTAAAGGTGAGAAGAACATAACGATTTCATTTCTTAACACCATCTTAAATAATTACCAAATGAGTCAGCCACCTCTCAGGACGGATTACGGGATAGCAAATATGGTCTGGTAGTCCTCAGTAAAAGTTTTGTCAACAAGTGCAGCAAATGGACCTCCTCCGAACTTTCGTCTCTCCATTCTAAGAGCAGACTCTCTACTCAGGACTGCATCTTACCCATCTGGAAAAGTAAGGAGCTGGAACTTTCTTTTAAAAACATTTGAATGAAGATTAAGATTTTCATTTAAGTTATCATTGGTTGGCATATTGCAACATTAAATTCAGAAAACTCGGGCTTTCAAATACCCCAGTAAATAAAATCAGACCGATTTGACGGTGCAACTTTGCAAAATGGTGAAACTTAACCTATTAAATAGCTGAACCGCTTTACTTCCTAAATCCTGATATTTCAAAATATTTGAATATAATTCCCCGCAGAAGATATAAGCGAGGCGGAAGTGGGTGCGTTTGATATGACCCTAGTTGGGATTAAGGCACTCAAAGAGGAGGACATGTCAGTGGATCAGATGGCAGTGGAGCTGAAAAAGAAGCTCAGAAGTAAGTGCCGTGTGGCGAAATGTGCCGAGGTGGATTGCCTCCCCTCTGAGGGTTGCCTCTCTTTCGAGCGAGGGTTGCCTCTCTTTCGAGGGTTGCCTCTCCTCTGAGGGTTGCCTCCCCTCTGAGGGTTGCCTCTCTTTCGAGCGAGGGTTGCCTCTCTTCCGAGGGTTGCCTCTTATCCGAGGTTTGCCTCTCTTCCGAGGGTTGCCTCTCCTCTGAGGGTTGCCTCTCCTCTGAGGGTTGCCTCCCCTCTGAGGGTTGCCTCTCCTCAGAGGGTTGCCTCTCCTCCGAGGGTTGCCTCCCCTCTGAGGGTTGCCTCTCTTCCGAGGGTTGCCTCCCCTCTGAGGGTTGCCTCTCTTCCGAGGGTTGCCTCCCCTCTGAGGGTTGCCTCCCCTCTGAGGGTTGCCTCTCCTCCGAGGTTTGCCTCCCCTCTGAGGGTTGCCTCCCCTCTGAGGTTTGCCTCTCTTCTGAGGGTTGCCTCCCCTCTGAGGTTTGCCTCTCTTCCGAGGGTTGCCTCCCCTCTGAGGGTTGCCTCT